CTTCACCATACATAGTATGGAGGGTATATAAAGTTCGTCATTCCGTTTGTAACCCATGGAAATAATAATTTTAAACCCATCAAAGTATGTATATTCTTGATCAGCGTAAAATTCTAAGACGATTTAGATAAGCCCGTCCGTACATCTGTTGTATACACGCTAGAGTAAAAACGAATAAATTTTGCACAGATCAGTCCATTGTCTGCAGGCAGGTCAATTTCGATTTTGATGATTATTCACATTACATTATTCACCGGATTTTATTTTTTAAGTTTAGAATTTGAATATTTTAATGGCTTGTGACAAAAGCTGAATATGCAGGTCCACGTCTTTCTACAGACCCCGATATAACGGCGACTTCATATATTCGGTATTTTTATGATTTTAATGGATTTTATTTTATTTTACTTATTTATTTATTTTTTTTTTTTTTTTTGAAAATTGCCAAATTCGTTCCAAATGGTGGAGGGTATTCAAAATTCGGCCCAGCTGAACTTACTGCTATTGAACTTGTTTTTTTTTTTTTTGTTACTTTCTTTGTTCTTCTTAGGCACATATGAAATGATGCGATATGGCGCCCTCGTTGAAGCTGAATTCCCAAGGAATTTGGAATTCCCAAGGCACCCACATTGTATTCAAGCGCACTTTTTTAAGATATGCGGTTTTCTTCTTGATTCTGATTTGTGAAAAATTGTGCGCCAGTATTTAAATATATCTCCGAAAGTTTAAGTACAAAATTGTTCCTACTTCAACTTTCGGAGGATGTTTCAATACAGACTCCTTGGATAAGGATTTCAGTACTATTCCTTCAACCAATACCAAATTTAGTACTTTTCGTATAATTATAGTACATATTTCCGAAACCACCTCTGAGTATCAACTTTAGATACTAACAGAGACCTCGACCTTCAACCAATACCAAATTTAGTACCACACACATTTCCACGAAGCCACGACCATATCTCAAACACAGATATCAGATCAGTAATCTGAATGATTTAAAACTTGTTTCCCTATCCCTTCACCAAATGTGAAATATAGTACAATTCAGTACTTTTCGTACAATTATAGTAGGTATTTCCGAAATCACTCCCATATGTCCATATGTGAACAGCGACCCAATATCAAGTTTCAAATTTCAGGCACTATCCAAATATAGTACTAGTTAGTAGTACACATTTCCAAAATCACCTCTTTATCACAAACCTACCACTGACAGGGATCCCAATACAAAATTTAAAAATTCCAGCTTCATCCATTCAACCTAAACCAAACTGTTCCAAATTTTGTACCATAATGTTTAGTTCACACACTTAGTACACATTTCCATATCATATATCAAACTTACTATTCAAGCTTAATTCTAATAAAGTTCACATAATACCAAATGTTATTATTTCAGAAATTAAGTACCTTTTTAGAACTATTCGCAGCCTTAAGTTCAAATTTCCAAAAACCATTTGATAGATCTATCTTACACTCTATCAGGGACTCGCATTCCAAATTCTGGCTCATTTGTCCAATACAAAGTTTTAAAATTTTTTAGTACTTTTCAAGATTTCAGTTTTAGCCGCTTCGTCTGGGCGTTCCATCTCGCTCAGTCAGTCAGTTATTTCACTACTATGAAAAAAGCTCCCAGGGACCTTCTTCAGACAAACCTATGAGGAAAACACCGATTTCTTTCCAAAAACCTGCCAGAAATAATTAGAAAACATTCTTTGCTCCCATGATGAAGACCACAACGAATAAGAGGAATTTCAGTATACTGTGTTGTATTGAATACTCAGATACGATATTTATAAATATACAGGGTGAGATGAAAAAACTGCAACCAACTTCAGACTGCTGTCATTTCGAAGTCACTCCTCCGACAGCTGTTAAAATTATTCCAGTGACAGCTCATTGTATTGTTTACAGGCGTACAAAAGCATTTTGGTGAGAATTTTCCAGAAAAAGTTTTTCGTTATGGAATTCAAGCGTGATAGTGTGATCTCTTTATATTTAGCTGGAAACCCACAACTGGCTATCGTTAGGGCACTCCAACACTTAAATGTGAATAAATCTTTTGTGTCTCGAACCATCGCTCGTGAGCGTGATACTGATAGCGTATCCCCACGTCAAGGAAGTGGACAGAAGAAAACAGCAACATCATCAGAAATGGTTCGAAAAGTAAAGAAGCGACTTGATTGAAACCTGCTTCGCAGTGGCCGAAAAATGACTCGTGAGCTGAAGATATGGCAATATTCCTTTCGGCAAATATTGAAAAATGAGCTCGGGGTAAAGCCATTGAAATTCCAAAAAGTGCAAAAACTTACACCGCAACTGAAAGAAAATAGACTCAAAAGAGCTAAAGAGTTGCTTCGCTTGGCCGAAAGTAGTGGCTACCGAATTTGGTTATCTCCGATGAGAAAATATTCGTTGTCCAGCAGTTTGTAAGCAAAAACCAGTAAAGAAAGTCCTAAAGTCGAGCGGGGCCGATTTTATGATACCCTACACCATTTTGCTAATTTTGTAGAGCTCCACATAACAATTAAAAGTTTTAATGCAAGAATTCAATCATACACGCTATGATTATAATTGTAATTTAAAGTTCAAAGGACTAAATATGCCGAAGCATTTGTATCTGTTAAATTCGGACTTGTATTGCCCATTTTGTGCAAAATTAATTTGAAATCAGATAAAGATATATATGGGAGCTATATCCAAATCTGAACCGATCTCGATAAAATTTGGCAAAGATATTTCTGAGCTGTATTTGATATATATCCCAAAATATTGTTGTTACAGATTGCATATTACGGCTGTGGGTAACAAATACAACAAATCGGATGAACAGTATATATGGGAGCTATAGCTATATCTGAACCGATCTTTACCAAATTTGGCATACTACCTTCTAGACTCAATTCGGTCGCATGTGCCAAATTGGTGCACAATAAAATATAAATCGGACGAAGTTATATATGGGAGCTATATCCAAATCTGAACCGATCTCGATAAAATTTCGCAAAGGTATTTCTGAGCTGTGTTTGATATTTTTCCCCAAATATTATTGTTACAGAGTGCATATTACGGCTGCGGAGGACAAAACTAACAAATCGGATGAACAATATATATGGGAGCTATAACTATATCTGAACCGACCTTCACCAAAATTGGCATACTACCTTCTAGACTCAATTCGATCGTATGTGCCAAATTCCATCCCATTTGGGCAAATATTAAACTTTTGGTGCGCAATAAAAGGCAAATTGGACGAAGATATATATGGGAGCTATATCTAAATTTTTACCGATTATCTCCAATTTCAATAGGGTTGGGCCAAACAAATGTTGTTTGGAAAATTTCATCTCAATCGGATAATAAATGCGACCTGCATTTTGTACACAAGAATACATGGACAGACGAACGGACGGACGGACTGACATGCATAAATCAACTCAGAAAGTGATTCTATGAAGATCCTCAAAAGTAACTTCCTTCTCCATGTTCAAACAAATGTACAAAGACATAATACAATGACCACCTTGTGGTATAGGGTATAAAAATGATCATGGTTACTTGCCAAAGAGGTCAGCTGAAAATGTCCACCGGTTGGCCACCAGAACTCAAACGCTGGTCACGTTGATGGTGTGGGCTGCCAATATTCTAAAGGGTGTATTAAAGCCTTGGACACTCAAACATTTTAGCTTCAGACCTTAGACATTCCAACAGGACTCAGCACCATCGCACACAGCACGCGCTACCCAAAAATGGTTACAAAACGAGGTTCCTCGTATCATTTCCAGCACACAATGGTCACCAAAACCTCCGGATACTAATCCGTTGGAATATTGTGTCTTGAGTATTTTGGAAAGCGAGGTTGTTACTAAAAAATACCAAAGTGTCGATCACCTCAAGCAAGCGCTTCGCCGGGAATGGGCCAAACTACCGCAGAGCAACATTCAGGCAGCATGTGACAGATTCATTGGCCATTTGAAGGCCATAATTCGTGCCAAAGATGACCAATTCCTACAAATCTTAACTTATTCTAAATATTGATGCTTTTTCGACATTTTTTGCTTCCATTCAATAAAATTTAAAAAAAAAGGTAAAAATTATGGCGTTTGACATTGTTGCAGTTTTATTTATATCACCCTGTATATGCCTTATGTAGTGTCGTAGTAGTCGTTGAAACTCTTTTTGGATATAGAGAATTTAATGAACTTGAAAGTCACACTCAGCCTAGTTTTTTTCTATGTTTACTAATATAACATAGTTGATATTAGTTTAGTTTGTATTAGTTTTTAGGCTATTATTTTTTAATAAATCCTCAAGTTTAGTTGTATTTTCACAAAAATATGTGTAGGATTTCTATGAATTCACGCTACCACTACACATGCACACGCATATGTATACGAGTATAAATGCAGTTAAGGATAATTGTGGGAATTTCAGAAATTTAAAACAGACGCTCAGAATATTTAAAAACCAACATTTTCTTAATTACCATTTGCTGCAATAAACGAAAGCTAAGGGATGGAGGCCATGGTAAAGAAGCCCGTATCCCTTTCACATGGCCTTCTTTCACTATCACGACAAGCGTTAGTTCGTAGCTTGACCGAAATATTTTCAATATCAATGTTAATGTCCATGGAAACGTCCACAACGCTCTGCCACAATGGGCCACATCAGTGACAGTAAACTGTTACCCTCACCCTCAATCTTAGGAACACGACTTGATATTTAATAGGCATTGATTTTTAATAAATGTAAAATTGAAAAAAAAAAAACTAACTTTGTTTCTTTCTTTATGTACCTGTGCCAGTGCGTCCGACCGTTACCAGTTGGTGTGGTTGCGGTCAAGCGTGGGAATTTCAAATTGAAATCCTTAAGGCCACGGTGGATCCTGACACGAGCATTGCTATAGATTCATTGTGTTACAGTACTTCAACAAGTTTAGACCGGTCCTGAAATCTGGAACGCAGAAAACGCAGTCTTTTCATATTTAAAAAAAAATACTTTTAAAAATATTTAATTTTTTGCTATTCCCGAATTTTAAACATTCAAAATGTATCGCTTAAATAATACATAGTCGTGCAAATCTTATCCTGAAAACTTAATTTTAAATTTGGATATTGAAAATTAATTTTAAAGAACAATTTGTACTACAACGAAATAAAGGTATAACAATAATGAAAAAAAAATTAGAAATATGCGAAAAGTATTGAAGTTATAAATTTTTTGTGTGTTAAAAAAATATAAACGTTTTATAAACATATCTCTAGTGTATCTTAAATGTCGCAGTATGATAGAAATTATATTATTACAATTAAACGTGTAAAATTCTTCGACGTTATGATATTTTATTGAATTAATATTAATTAACATAGGCTGATTACTAAAAATGATGATTAACAAAAACCACAATATAAGGAAAAAAACAAAATCATTATAAACTGCAAACCCTAATGAGTCTGCATTTTGGATGTGTCGATAGTCCTAGCATAAGAAGAAAACCCATTTAAAAACATACTAATTCTCGGTCGGCCCGATCTTTAACAATACCCTACGGAAAACCTTACTAATAATCAGATTGTTTGAATATTTAAAAAATTACAAGAAAAGGCGATGTGTGAAAACCATTATCGAACCAAAACTACAAATTAGAGTATTTGGCGTTTAGCATTTTAAAACCATATTGGCAACTTTTTCATAAAGGTCTTTTACATCCTGGCCGTTGTATATATTCAATTTATTTACAATTTGGCAACCAAGCCATAAAAACCGCCTATGTTACAAAAAAAACTCAAAGGCTACGTTACACTAGTTTTTATATTCAATCTTAGAATTAAAAAAAAAATATGAAATATAAAAAGACAAGTTAAAAAAAGAAAAAAAAACAGCTAAGTTCGGCCGGGCCGAACTTTTAATACCCTCCACCATTTGGAAGGAACTTGAAAATTTTCAAAAAAAACCAGTAAGGAAAGCTCAAAAGTCGGGCGGGGCCGACTATATGATACCCTACACCACTATGCATATTTAGTAGAGCTCTCGTAAAAAGGTTTATACAGGCCATTTCAGAGCTCTATGAGATATTTGGTACAAAATCAAATACTATCTATACTATAGCTATCTCTGAACCGGGTTTCTCCAAATTTGACGTATTAGCTTCTAGACTGAATTCGGTCTTATGTATGAAAATTCAGGTGATTTGGGCTGATATTGACCATTTAGTGAACAATTAACCTGAAATCGTTAGAATAATCGATTCTCACCACTATGTGGCTGTACAGATGTCTGAAACAATTCCTAATATTAGTTGGGAATTGAAGGAACGAAAATTGGAATAATTGGTTTCCCCTCAGTTATGAAGGTACTCAGCTCCACCTCCACGCCAAGGCTTATTCCCCGGAAGAGTAAAACAGTCGAATTGTATAATGCTACTATGGAAAGTAGCGTATTATTCAACCATTTCGGTATTTATATCAATTTAAAAAACATATATATGGGAGCTACAGCTATATCTGAACCGATTTTTACTAAAATTGGTGTACCTGCTTCTAAGCTGGTTTCGGTCGGATTTGCCAAAATTGATGCTATTACGGCCATTTGGTGGTCAATCACCCAAAATCGAATGAAGATATATATGGGAGCTATATCCAAATCTGAACCGATTTCGATAAAATTTAAAACAGCTATTCCTGTGCTCCATCTAATACCTGGTACCAAATATCACGGTTGTGGAGTGAATATTACGAATGTAAGAGACTAAAACACTAAATCGGATGAAACATATATATGGGTGCTATATCTATATCTGAACCGATTTACACTAAATTTGATATACCTGCTTCTAGGCTGAATTTGGTCCGATGTACTAAAATTCAGTCCACAATTGGTGCACAATTAACCCGAAATCGGATGAAGATATATATGGGAGCTATATCCAAATCTGAACCGATTTCGATAAAATTACAAACAGCTATTTCTGGGCTGTATCTTATATCTGGTACCAAATATCACGGTTGTGGAGTGCATAGTAGGAATGTGAGAGGCTTAAACACCAAATCGGATAAAACATATATATGGGAGCTATAGCTGTTTCTGAACCGATTTTCTCCAAATTTGTTGTATTTGCTTTAAGGCTAATCTCGGTCACATGTGCCAAAATTCGGGCCATTTGGGCTGATATTGGCCATTTGGTGGTCAATTAACCCGAAATCGGATGAAGATATATATGGGAGCTATATCCAAATCTGAACCGATTTCGATAAAATTGAAAACAGCTATTTCTGTGCTCCATCTAATACCTGGTACCAAATATCACGGTTGTGGAGTGCATAGTAGGAATGTGAGGGACTTAAAGATCAAATCGGATGAAAGATATATATGGAAGCTATAGCTATATCTGAACCGATTTTCTTGCTTCTAGGCCGAACTCGGTTGGGTGTACCAAAATTCAGGTAATTTGGACTGATAGTGGACATTTGGTGCACATTTAAACCGAAATCGGATGAAGATATATATGGGAGCTATATCTAAATTTGATCCGATTCTCACCAATTTCAATAGGGTTCGTCCTTGGACCAAAAAAATATTGTTTGGAAAATTTCATCTCAATCGGATAATAAATGCGACCTGCATTTTGTTCACAAGAATACATGGACAGACGGACGGACGGACGGACAGACGGACTGACATGCATAAATCGACTCAGAAAGTGATTCTATGAAGGTTCTCAAAAGTAACTATGGGTCTATCTCGTTTCCTTCTCCATGTTACAAACAAATGCACAAAGACATAATACCCTTACCACTATGTGGTGTAGGGTATAAAAACCGAAAACTACCACTTAATGAAACCCGTTTTATGGGGACTATACGAAGACTTGGACCTGGACAATGTCGTAATTGTTTGTCATAGGCTGTGGTACCAATTACGTACTTTAAATACGAAATTTGTTACAATTCCGGTGAATAATGTCGCAAAAATCATAAAAATGCCGAGTATCGGGTGGTACCGTCGTATGGGGCCTATATAATGAAGTGAACCTGCATACGAAATATTTTTCCATAGGTTGTAGTACCCATAAAAATCTTCCAATACGAAATTTGAAACGATTTCGATAATAATGTTGCTGAAATTGTCAAAATGCCGAATATCGTGAGGTACCGTTATATGGGGGGCTATACGAAGACATGGACCTGCATACAAAAATGTTTGTCATGGACTATAGTACCCATTATGAACTTTAAGTATGAGATTTGAAATAATTCCGGCAAATAATATCGCAAATTGAGAGGAACCGTTATATGGAGGCTATACGAAGATGTGGACCAACAAAGTCAATTTTCTGTCATAGGCTGTAGCACCTATTACGAACTTCAAATACCAAATTTGAAACAATTCCGGTTAATAATGTCGCTAAAATCCTAAAATGAAAACGTGGACCTACATGGCCCCATTTACGAACTTAACCTGCCTACTGGAAAAATAAACATGTGTGCAAAGTTTTAGCATTCTATCTCAATTCGTTCGAAAGATAGCGTGGTGAAATCGACTTAGAATGTTACGCTGATCAAGAATATATATACTTTTTTGGGTCTGACATCAGTATTTCGAGGAGTTACAAACGGAATGACAAAGTTAATATACCCTCCATAGTATGGTGGAGGGTATAAAAGCTACTACCAACTGGTGGTAATCGTAAACGATCGGAATAAACTGGGGCTCAGCATTTAAAATATGTCTTTGTTTATGATATCCTTAACTGTACCATGCGGCACCCCATCAGTCATGTGTATTTTCGGTAAAACAAGCTTAGAGCATTGATATCCAATCACTGCGACCAGGTACCAATTCCAGTCATATTTATTTAAAAATGAGTGTACGAAAATATATATGAGAGCATTGGGTCAAACAAATGCAGTACGAAATCGTGACCTACATATATAATCTGAGAGCGGTTTTAGTACCTCTAACAATCTTTTTATACCCTACGCCACACTGTGGTACAGGGTATTATGTCCTTGGGCATTTGTTTGTAACATGCAAAAGGAAATAGACATAAAGTTCTCTTTGATGATCTTCATAGAATCACATTCTGAGTCGATTTATGCATGTACGCCCGTCTGTCCAGTAATGAAATTGCGTAACTCATTTTCGGAGTTACCGATAAAAATCGGTAAAATGCTAATGTTTTTAATTTCTTATAATAAGCGACGAAATTAAAGTAGTCGAATCAGATTTGCATACAGCACCTTTTTATAGTGTCGTCCGATTTCTTTAGAATTATGCACCAAATGCGTAATATCAGTCCGAATCAGATGACAGTTTTGGTAAATATCGGTTCACATTTAAATGTAGGTCCCAAATATTTTTTCGTCCGTATTCAAATTAATTGTGTGTCATATGTGTAATAATCGTACAAATGAAATTGATTTCGGCACATACGATGGAATTCGGCCCAGAAACAAGTACTTCGAATTTGGTGAAAATCTTTCAGCTATAGCTCCCATATATATGTTTCATTCGATTTGGGGTTTAAGTCAATCAAATTTTACTAAATCGATTCAAATTTTGATAAAGCTCCCGTATATATCTTCATATAGATTTGACGGTCATGGTGCCCCATATATGTAATATCAACACAAATTGAATTGATTTTTGTACATTCAACCAAGTTTTTCCATTTCGTGAAAATCGGTTCCCGTACACCTATTACTCCAATATATATATCTCCACATAGTCCTTTTCAAGGTATGCCTCCGTTAAAATTGATAAAAAATGAGACAGATTTGGATGTACATCCCTTATAATAGTTCCCTGTGAAGTTATAACTCCTATATGGGGTCATACCAAAGAGGACACAATTTTCTACTACCAGGATTGTTATATATTGCGAGTCTTACCGTTATATGGGAACTATAGTTATATGGCAGCTATAGTAAAACGTGGACCTATACAGCCATCTGAGGTGAATCCGTTATAAACTCTTAATATAGAATTTGAAAAATTTCGTTGAAAAAGGGGCGACAATTATCAAAATACCAAATTTCCGAAGGCATCGTTTTATCGGGACCAAATAAAACGAGGACGTAAAAAGAAATTGTTCTGCCACAATAGGTAGAACCCGTTACAAACTCTTAATACCGATTAATACCACATAGGTAGTCAAAATATCGAATATCAGGAGGTACCTTTATATAGATGCTACAGTAAAACGTTGTACATATAGGTGTACAATGATCTGCCACAATAGGTAAACCCATTACAAACTGTAAATAGATTAAATACCGAATATCGGAAGGGCGATATAGAAATATGGTGACCCATACAGACAATGTTCAGCCACAGGTGATAGAACCCGTTACTAAACGCAATGCCAATTTTGGAACAATTCCGTTGAAAAATGGGGCTAACATCATCACAAACCGAACATCTGGAGGTACCGTTATATTGGGCTATATAAAAACGTGAACCGATATACTAAGTATTTTCAATACCAAGAATCCTAGACACAATTCAAACTATTGTGTCAAAGGTTTATATCAAACAATGTGGACGGTATCGTTATTTTAACCGACAGACAGACGGACATCGTTAAACCGACTAAGAATTTCATGCTGCTCATGAATATATATATTTTTTGGGTCTACGAATATTAAGAGGTGTTACATACACAATTGAAAATACTTCGCAAGGTGGATTTAAAAAAACCTCGTCTTGTGGTACTAATCTTCAAGGAATATAGAACGGAAAGGGGCATATAAATACTCGAGTGAGAAGGAGAAAATATTCTGCGACAGAATTCCTTATTTGAATTGGCAGGAGATATGTTTGTTTTAATCTATAACTCGAGTTCAGCTCACGTCGAATGATTATATCGATGAATTGCCAACAAAATGACAAACTTAGTATCGGACGAAGTTATATATGGGAGCTATATCCAAATCTGAACCGATCTCGATAAAATTTAGCAAAGGTATTTCTGAGCTGCATTTGATATATTTCCCCAAATATTGTTGTTACAGAGTGCATATTACGGCTGCGGAGGACAAAAATAACAAATCGGATGAACAATATATATGGGAGCTATAGCTATATCTGAACCGATTTCGATAAAATTTGGCATACTTGTTTTCAGGCCTAATTTGGTCGTATGTGCAAAATTCCATACTATTCGGGCTAATATTACACGTTTGGTGCACAATAAAAGGCAAATCGGACGAACATATATATGGGAGCTATATCTAAATTTTTACCGATTATCTCCAATTTCAATAGGGTTCGTCCTTGGGCCAAACAAATGTTGTTTGCAAAATTTCATCTCAATCGGATAATAAATGCGACCTGCATTTTGTTCACAAGAATACATGGACAGACGGACGGACAGACGGACTGACATGCATAAATCAACTCAGAAAGTGATTCTATGCAGATCATCAAAAGGAACTATGGGTCTATCTCGTTTCCTTTTGCCTGTTACAAACAAATGCACAAAGACATAATACCCTGACCACCTTGTGGTGTAGGGTATAAAGACCATGCATTAAGTCATTAAGGAAAACTTGGTTTAGGAATTGAATTAATCCCGAAAAACATTGATATTGAGCCAGATTGAGAAAATAACGCCAAATTAATAGAACAGTCGCTGTAAGTCGTTAGGCTTATAATAGTAATAGAATATCAGGTCATATCATCTATAACTATCGGTAGCTACGACTTGTTGAAATCAGTACAAACTTCACATTTCTAATCTTTCATGTTAAACACAAAATAAACCAGCGCAACTTTAAAATACCTTAAATTCCAAATAATATTAATATTTTCAAAGAACATATCAATTTGCTTGATTAAACATGTTGCTTTCAAAATTTCACCTTCATTTGACTTCCTTTCTCCAATGTCTTTCAACAGATGCAAGCCAATCTGCAGCCAACGAAATACACCGGCCTTGTGGCCGATCTGATGCCCAACATCAAGCTGATGAAATATTCAGGCTTGTTTATGCATGCATTCACCGGAGGCTCGGCACTGCTGAAAAATGTCTACTCGTCCATACACCTGGTGCTGATAGTGCTGCAGTTCATCTTCATCCTTGTCAACATGGCCCTGAACGCTGACGAGGTTAATGAATTGTCCGGCAATACAATTACGGCGCTATTCTTTACGCATTGCATTACGAAATTCGTTTATATTGCCGTGAATCAGAAGAACTTTTATAGGTGAGTATGTCGCCAGAGGTTGTGAGAGGGGTGGAGAAGGAGACACATGTCTTATCAATGTGGTTGGTCTTGAAGGTCTTCGTGTGTGTGTGTGTGTGTATTTCCATTAAGCATTTATTTAATGCACCTATCCATCCATCCATCCATCTGTGCTCTTCTCTGCTCCAGATGCATCAATTAATCGAACAATTTATTTTTAATTACACATTCCGTTCTGGTGTCGATGCTGACATCGGTTGCTTGCCTGTCACTTTTAATATTGCGCTCTCTGTCGCTGTTGTCCGGCCGAATGAGTAGAACACTTAACATTTGGAATCAGCCAAACTCCCACCCCCTCTTTGCGGAATCGGATGCTCGCTATCATTCAATTGCTTTGGCTAAAATGCGAAAGTTGTTCTTCTTGGTAATGCTGACGACCGTTGCCTCAGCCGTTGGTAAGATGAGATGAGAGATTCTGCTCGAATTGCCTGAGTGGCCATTAATAATTTTCCCCCACTCCCCTGTAGCCTGGATTACCATCACCTTCTTTGGCGAAAGTGTCAAGTTCGCCACCGATAAGGAAACAAATTCCACCATCACGGTGCCCATTCCACGGCTGCCCATTAAATCGTTCTATCCCTGGGATGCAAGCAGTGGCATGTTCTATATGATATCGTTCGGCTATCAGGCCTATTACCTGCTCTTCTCGATGGTCCATTCAAATCTGTGCGATGTCCTCTTCTGTTCGTGGCTCATCTTCGCCTGCGAACAGCTGCAACATCTTAAGGGAATCATGAAACCGTTGATGGAGTTGTCAGCCTCATTGGATACGTATCGACCTAATTCGGCAGCATTGTTTCGTTCGTTGTCGGCTAATTCGAAATCTGAGTTAATTCAAAATGAAGGTTAGTTAGGTGAACGGAGGCGACATTGAAATGTTGTCCTTATTTATTGTAACCTTTGTCTTGTGTCGTCCTTGTGCAGAAAAGGAACCTGTCAATGACTTGGATATGTCGGGCATTTACAGCACAAAGGCCGACTGGGGTGCCCAATTTCGTGCTCCATCTACTCTCCAGACTTTCAATGGCATAAATGGTGGCAATCCGAATGGTCTGACCAAGAAACAGGAAATGATGGTACGCAGTGCCATAAAATATTGGGTCGAACGTCACAAACATGTTGTCAGGTAAGTAGTTCATATTGTTTTGTATTGTTGTGTAGTAAATGGAGGATAGGGGAAATGGATCGCTGCATATCTCATCACATCTCAAAAAAAATTGAATTTCGAGAAAAACTCATGTGAAGTTATTTATTGAAATTTGACTGACTGATTTAAAAAGATTATTATACAACAAATAAAAAACATTAAGTTCGGCCGGGCCGAACTTTTAATACAATCCACCATAAGGAAAATATTTTTATATAAAAGTATCTGGATTTAAATATGTTCCGCATTAAACTACACATGCCAGTAAGACCGTTGGGATAATGCAGTTAAATTTAAACCGTTAAGTGGATGAAGACGTAAAATGGGGGCCATACCAGAACGGGAACATATATATACCATTTTGTAATATAACTTTTGTAGATAACTATTCGGAGTCTAAAATACCAAATTTGGAACAATTTCGTGGGTAAATGTGACTAGGATTATGAAAATACCGAATATCGGCGGTTACCTTCATATGTGCAGTATAGGAAAACGTGGAAATAGATATTTAATTTTCGGCGACTGACCTTTTCGGCGAATACCGAAAATCGGGAGGTACCGTTATATGGCGGTCATACGAAAACTTGGGTCTATATATACAATGTTCCGTCACCCGAGCTGGAACTCATTATGTACTACAAATACCATTTTTTATACAACTGAAACAACTGTGGTGAAAATCATTAAAATGCCGAATATCGGGAGGTACCGTTATATAGGGCTATATGAGAACGTGGATCTTTATATACAATGTTCCGCCACGGGAGTTAGAACCTATTACGAACTACAAATGTCAATTCTTGGACAAATCCGTAAAAAATGTGACTTAAACCATTAAATTTTTCCAAATTTTGAAGCTCTACGTCGTGATTTCAACAAACAGAGAGATAGATGGACATCGTTATATCGATAGAATTTCATGGAGAACTGCAACAAAGTCATTTACATTATTTTAATTTTATTGGATGAAAGCAAAAAATGTCGGAAATAGCATCAAATTTTAGAATAATTTTAGATTTTTTCGAATTGGTCACCTTTGTTGCTCTGCGGCATTTTGGTCCATTCCCGGCGAAGCGCTTGCTTGAGGTCATCGACATTTTGGTATTTTTTAGTGCCATCCTTGCTTTACAAAATATTCCAGACACAATAGTCCAACGGATTGGTATCCGGAGATTTTGGTGGCCATTGTGCGATGGAAATGAAGCAAGGAACCTAATTTTGTAACCATTCTTGTGTGGCGCGTACTGAGTGCGATGGTGCTCAGTCCTGTTGGAATGTTGAAGGTCTGCGGCCAAAATGTTCGCGATAATATTCGACACTTATTCTGATGCCACGGTCGATTAATACGAGCGGAGAGCGACAATCGGCTGTTATGGCAGCCCACACTATCACCATGGCCGACGCTTGAGTTCTGGTGGCCAACCGAAGGTCTACATTTTCAGCTAACTTCTTCGGCAGGTAAACACAATTATTTTGTTAGTTTACAAAACGAATGTTTTCTCATCGGAGAAAACCAAACTCAGCAGTTCACCACTTCCGGCCAAGCGAAGCAACTCTTTAGCTCTTTTGAGCCTATTTTCTTTCTGTTGCGGTATAAGTTCTTGCACTTTTTTGAATTTCAATAGCTTTACCCCGAGCTCATTCTTCAATATTTGCCGAATGGAATATTGCGATATATTCAGCTCACGAGCCATTTTTCGGCCACTGCGACGCGGATCGCTTTTCGAACGATTTTTGCTGATGTTGCTTTTTTCTATCGTCCACTTCCTTGACGTCGGGCTACGCTACCATTATCACGGTAACGAGCGATGGTACGAGCCACAAAAGATTTATTCACATTTAAATGCTGGAGTGCTCTAACGATAGCCACTTGTGGGTTTCAAGCCAAATATAAAGAACTCAAACCTTCGCGCTTGAATTCCATCACGAATAACTTTTTTCTGGAAAATTCTCACCAAAATGCTTTTGTACGCTTGTAAACAATATAATGAGCTATCACTGGAATAATTTTAACAGCTGTCGGACGAGTGGCTTGGAAATGACAGCAGTCTGAAGTTGGTTGCAGTTTTTTCATCTTACCCTGTATACATCTGTATCCGTTTTCTGGTAGCTCTACTAAACATCGTCACTGTGTGTGGTATCATAAATCGGGACTGAATTTATTTGTTCTACTTTATTTTGTTAAAATTATCTTGTTTGCGCGCTGCCATTGAAGTATACATGGGCATCTTGTAGAAAATATACTTTCCCTATGGATGGAGTCTAGACGTGTCTGGAGTATTTTGGAAAGCAGGGTTGGCACTAAAAAATACCAAACTGTCGATCACCTCAAGCAAGCTCGCCGGGAATGGGGCAAAATACCGCAGAGCAATATTGCCGATTGAAGGCCATAATTCGTGCCAAAGGTGACCGATTCGAACAAATCTAAACTTATTCTAAAATTTGATGCTATTTCCGACATTTTTTGCTTTCATTCATTAAAATTAAAAAAAATATAAAAATTATGGCGTTTGACTTTGTTGCAGTTTTTTTATTTTCCCTAATTATTTTTTTAACGCATTCACTACCTTTGCATTATAGTCACAGGGGTAATTGCAATTGGCACGTACTCTGACTACGATTTTCGGTTCCTTTATAGAATAGAGTAATATTCGGATCCTCAGCACAACTCCATTTTACCAAGGATATTGTGTTATCCTGTTAACTTGTTGGTTCACCACATATGATTACACCTCTCAATCCCAACATTATCGAGATAGCGAGACGTCCTATTTGCACCACTATATGGCGAACGTTACTGTAATCGTACTTTTCAAAAATAATGACCCCTATGCACAACATCAACACTTACACTCAATTCGTCTGCAGAAATACTCTTATAAAACCTTCTATATTTTTTGGTGAAAATTTCAAACTCTCCTAGTCTTCTTGTTCTTAAATTGAATTCTCCCATTTTTAAATTAAATTCAAATTTAATAACTCCTTTTACTACATTCGGTTTCCAGAATGTTTCGAAAAATACTAGTTACTGGCTATGAGAAAAACAGTTAAACATTTCGAAATTCTAAAGAGCTGTCTATAAATGTTTTAAGCACTGAATAAGAGTTTCTATAAAATCAATAATAATTGAATTTCCCATTGTCAATGTTCTCATATACATATGTATTAGTGTTTCTGCTCTCAACGTGTGTGTGTGTGTGTGTGTGTATGTACTCGTGTTGTGTGAATTTACCTTATGGCCACTCTGGTAGTCGGAAGGAAACAGTTTCTATTGGCGGAAATTCAAATTTTAATTACAAACAAAACAACAAAAAAATGGTTAAACATTCGAATACATCTGGCCCATTGTCGAGTGACGGACGATGACCGGCAAGGAATCCATAAAAAAATCGAAAGACACATCTTGTCTTGTTTCCCAGAGAAGTCATTTATCGCTTAACGAACGCCATGGCTGTCTTCATCTCATCTTCATCAACGTTCACTTCGTCTTCGGCGTCCTGTCTTGTCCTGATAGTTAGTTGGTTTGTTTATTTGTTTGGTTGTATGTTTGTTTGTGTTGGTAGAGGGTTATTTATTCAGTGAATGGACAACAAATGCCCATCGGTATCAACAGCTTTGGTTACATTTGGTTTCACTTGGTGTTGTTTGCTTTTTTGCTTATCTTTGCAAACGGCGGAATCGTCCTGAGTGTCATCATTTTCATGATTGGAAGTTCGACGACGATGATGACGACGACCACAGCCGACTGGTATTTTTGCAAGTATATCGTTATTTGTCCGTTTTTCTGTGTCTCTGTCCTCTGCCATATTCTGGCTTTGTTTGTTTCGGCTTGTATTCTACGGATAGAAAGTAATGCTTTTAATTACTTAGAGCAACAATCAATTCGGTGATGAGTGGGTGGATCAGGTTCCGTATACGCTTCGTATTGTCCTTTATGAGTAAATGCGGAGGAGGACATTACAGAATTACAGGAATTACAATTGATTGTCAAGGCAGGTAAAAGAAGGAAGAACCACCATAATGCAATAAATTGAAGAAAGTTATTTTTTTACATCTCTATGGGCTATTAAGGTTCAAGCCAATTAATATTTTAACGCTTTATTATACTCTGCACCACTTTGTGGAGAAGGTATTATAAGTTAGATTGGACAAAAAAATCGTTACACCTCGAAACATTCCAAAAAAAGAAACTTATAAATGTTAGAGATTTCGCATAATAATTGAATAAAATGACCAAAAACGGAAAAGGTTCCTGATATTGCAGTCGCTCTATAGGTCACGATTATAGATTACAACGCAGAATTTTGCAGGAGATTAAAGTATAGGACAAGAAGTCTCCCATTTGTGTGGTCATCGGATAAAATTTAATGGAAATTTCTTTGAACTGTATAGTCAGATATCATCAATAGCAAAGCATGGCAATAATATATATAAGAGTCAAAATTTCCAAAAATTAAATTCCCACTAAAACAACAGAAGACGTAAATATAGGGCAATTACCACGTAATTAGTCATTGTCTGGTGCCTCCTGTCAAAAAAACAACAAGATTTTAAAATTAGCCTCATGCATATGTTTACGTGAAATTATCATCAAGCAAAAGCAGTAATCTTAAAAATATTGGTTCCAAATCTATATATCTAAACAATACTCATGTATAGATTATAATAACCAATGTAGAAAAATTAGAGGGAATCAAGTCAAGAATCTCAGATCTGCAGAAATTACAGAATATATTTTGACTTGCATTCTGATATAAATATTACAACGTGCTGCATTTCGACTATATCGATCACTTCGTTCATTTGCCTTTACATGAGATATGTCATAATTTTCGGAATATGTACGTGAGGTACCACTGATGCCACGGTCGATTAATAAGAGCGGAGAGCGATCATCGGCTGGTAATGGCCGCCCACACCATCACCATTACCGGCGCTTGATTTCTGATGGTCAACCGAAGGTGCACATTTTCAGC